CCTTCCCTTGTTATGTCCAATTCATTAAAATTAAGATTGACTTTCATATAAAAGTAAAGGTCCAAGTTAAAATGTAAAAATCAAAGAAATAAATTTGACTACCCAACAAAGTATGGAAAAAAAAAACATGCCTAGAAGTCCCACGGTCCACTCCCACCATAGGAAATTCTACATTACATATATAAACCCATCAATTATCATAGAACCAGAACAATTGCAAGATATACATTGTGTGGTATACAGGTATACTGTTATGGCAAGAAGCTGAATATCACAAAGTTGACTAAAGGAAAAACTCCAAACCTAGCATCAAAATGATTCAACACAATCAATCAGTACTCCAGGATATACTCACTTATTGTAGGCAGCACGCCCAACCATTACCCCATGAGCTCCTTTTTTCAATGCTCCGTTCACCTTTGGACCAGATAAAAAGACATAAGGAGGAAAAAAAAATATGTTAGGTTCCAGATATCACAATCACCAACAAAAGAGAGACACAAAATCATAAAGACTGCACAACAGACGAAAGATGATAAAACCACAAACATAAACACAAAAACTGCAGCTATACTGTTTAGCTCACAAGACCCATTTGGCATAGCCAGTTGCTTATAGCTACAAGCCACACAAGTAAATGGTCACAGCCCATTTATTGAAATGCTACATTGAAGGCATAATCTCTATTTTTATAGCTTTCACAAGTGCTCGGTAGAGTATACCACAGGGCTTTGTCATCAACTAAGAAATAACATGTACAGAACCCCACAGAAGTTGACCTATACATTGCTTCCACGGATAAACTAAAGCAAACTACTTTACTGAAAAAAATTCCAGCCAAATTAAAGCATGTTGGGCCATTCTTCATATAAACTAAGGGTGCATAACTGCGAGTGATATATCATGAAAAGATGGCAACATTCATAACTAGAATAGGTTGTGAAGGTAGGTCACAGATAATGTGAACCGGTGCAAAGGTGTCAATACAGGACAACAAATGGGGATAAGCTGTCAGGCAATGTAAAATAAAAGGCATTGTTGATATGATAATACTTAACTCCGCACCCCCCCCCCCCCACCCACCCACAAAAAAAAAAAAAAAAAAAAAAAAAAAAAAAAAAAAAAAAAGCCTACCACAGCTAGACAGTGAAAGATCAGAATAAGCGTAATGATCAGAGAACTACTAAAGGGGCTAGACAAAAGTTTTACCTCTTCAATTGAATTTATGCCTCCATTTATTGTAAACTTCAAGTCTGGAAAGTCACGTACTAGAGCATAGTAGAATTCATATCTGTGTAACAAACATTGAATTACCCCATCAGTCATCAGTTCAAGTGCACAGCACTATCAAATACAGCTCTAATTCAAATAGGTCTCCTCTGACCATTAACTTCAACCTAAATTAGTCTAGCTTCTAGCCGAGAGGCAGTATTTGAAATACTATTACTTACCTGAGTGGTGGAATTGATCGATTTTCAGCAGGGCTAATGCCATTGAGAAGTGCTTTCCGCGAATGTATGATAAAGTGCTTGGTAGGAGACGTTGAAGATACTTTATAAATGAAATCACCTGAATAACAGGAATATTAGCAATTTGAAAAATTAATCAGAGGGCATCACAATAAAGTTTCACCAAACATTTATCAGACACCAAATGAAAGCCAACAAAATCTTCAAAATGACAACGAGAAAGCCAAATAGTAAAGATATAGTCCTTTTTCCAAAGCCACATAGAGTTACTACAAACAAAACCAGTCCCCAGAAACCATAAGGAAGAGAGGAGAGGAGGGCAGATAGAATGAGAGACCAAAGAAGTTGGACTACAATTCTACAAACAGAAAGCTCATTTTTTTATTATTTGGAAGACAAATGAGGCTTAAAGCAAATCACTCACATAGTTCATTATAAGAATCTTGATCATCAACACCAATGCGGCATTTGACAGTCACAGGAACATCTGTATTGGCAGCAATAACTGACATGGCCTCACCGACAAACTTTCCTTGCAAAGGCCAAAGAGTAATAACATTAGGGAATCCTCTACTAGCAAAAATTTGACGAAAAATAATCCTCTTTTGCAGTTCAGTAAGTCAGTAAAGATAGTTCCTTACCTTAGGATCAAGCATCAGGCGCACGCCAAAACATCCATGCCCAACAACCCTAGGGCTAGGGCATCCACAACTGAAAAAAAGAAAAAAAAGGTCACAGAATTTTGGTAAGACAAAGACCAACAGATACCAGCCAAAGAATGAAACTAATCAAAGAAAATCCTTTATATAAATAAAATAGAAAGAAGATATTGAGCACCAACTTTAAGTTAATTTCATCGTAGCCATAAGCGTTAGCAAGTTGGGTTGCTTTTGCAATGTTCTCCAAGTTATTCCCACCAATTTGAAGAGCTATAGGATGTTGCTCTGGAGTAAATTCCAAAAACCTGTCCTGGACATATAAAAAAAAATAAAATTATATTTGACCCAATCAATGCCCCAAAAAAGAGAAAATGTGCCTCAAAAAATTGTTCCATAGCCAAAATAATTCAGATTTTAGCGCTCAATATTTACTTGTAAAGAAACATACTCCCACACCTATATGTAAGTACGAAATATGCAAACCAGTAAAATGACACATTGCTAGAAAAGAAACCATCATTTCATATTTAATTACTGAAAATCAATCTCATATTACAACTTTAAGCATTGAAAGTAATTTGAACATAGAAGCACAAAGCATATACCATAGCACATAATTTCATTTTAAACGGAAGACCTCCTTCCAATCCTAATCGATCAAAAATAGATACACAGAAGACTAAGCTATAGTATCTAATAAAACCCAACTTTAAGGCACTGAACAGCATAGGATCTTCACTAACCAGATTACCCTTCTGATAAACAATAGTTTCTGCAGCAAGCATCTCCGTGTAAAGCCAAGCATTTTTTGATATGATTCGTGCTAGCACCCTATAGTGATTATCCGTCCACTCCATCATTGGTGCGACACTGGGAATCAAATCAGTAACATTAGAAATTCATGTCAATATGGAGTTATATTTGGTGAAGTTAATCAAATGATCCGAACCCTAAAGGAAGACGAAAACACACCTGAAGAGGGGAGGAGGGTATCGTGCCACAACCATTGGTGATTCCTTATGTAATGTGTGGCCTTGGCCACAACAGTATAATCTCTTTGATGTTGTTGAATTTCCAACTACTAAATTTGATGAAAATCGCGGCCGAGTTTGAGTGACTAAACAAAGTACAGGAGCACACGAAGTTACGAAACTATACCCTGCAGACCTCATCATGCCCTAATCAGATCACAGCCTCCATAAATATTATGTAGGAGTTCACTCAGATAACAAATATCATTAGCTACAACAAGAATATGAATTTTTTATAAAGGATTGTACATTACATGAGCATTTTAACATAAAAGTTACAAAACACATAATTTGTGAGCTCAAAATTAAATTATTAGATCCTTGAATCTAAATCTTTATATACCCACAGAAAAAAACTTCAGGAAATAAAAATCAAGACTTTGAATTATTACAAACCCATTTATCATAATTAACTAGAATAAGAGAAACACAATCACTTGAATTAATAGAACAACAAAATAAAACCTAACTCTCCTATAACTCTTAACAGAATGACCCACAAACTCTACAAAATGAAATGAACAGAATTATGAACTACTACAATAGAAAATTATAGCAAGAAAAAGGAAATTAAAAAAAGAAATTAGGGTTTTACTTGAAACTGAAGCAACGAACAAATTGAAGGCGTTTGAAATTGCAACAGCAGCAGTATTAAGGAGGGAGATGAAGACGAAGAGAACAGCACTCTACAATTTTGCGGGTTATATTTCTTTGTTTTTGGAAACTGAACAGAAATACTACAGTATGTAAATTGATCTTGTGGTTCTGCTTCTGTTCTACTTTGGGCTTCTTTTATCTAATCTAGTCTGGGTCAAAGCCCTTACATGATTTCAAATTTTCATATCCAATTCCTTTTTTTTTTTTTTTTTTTAATGTATGGAAATGAAATATTTTCATAGTTCCAAATTATATAAAAGTTTTTTTAAAAAAAAAAAGCCGCATGAAAGTTAACTTTACAAACAAGTGACTTTTAAAGAATTATCGGTACTTTTCGATGTAAAGTCAATATCCACAGTGAATTTATTCTAACTATCAATTACTCATAATGTCTAGAAATTGAGGTGAAAATAGTTTGGGTCTTTGGGATGCAACCTTCATACATCGTTACTAGAAGATATCCGTATTGTTTATTGGCTTTCAATAAAAGGTGTTAATCAAGCATATAGGTGTAATTTTTCAAGATTCACCTTTGGAGCTAATGGTGCATTCATTTCACTATATTTACACTTATAAAAATTTATCTAAACTTATTTTAGACAAACGTTGAAAGCCTTTCTGTATAAAGAACTGGGCTCTTATTTTAAAATGACTTATCTAATCTAAATTTGTCTGAATTTATTAACCAGATTTCTTCTAAAACAGGTGAAATTATATGAAGTCGTCATGAGTGATCTTGCCACGCATTAGAGTCGTTTGGTCCACTAAGCTGGAATGGATTGGTATAGATTATCATATTTGGGTAGTATGGATTCTATATCTCATACCAATCTAAAGTTGCTTTGTTTAATCATAGAATGGATTATCATACTTGAGTGGTAGTATGGATTATGAATCTTTGGGGGGATATGGGTATGAGATTCCAAGGGAATGGGGTAGAGTTAGAATCCCCGGGTATAAGATTCCATACTTAAATAACCCAACCAAACAAATAAAACCATAAAATTCATTTCAACCCATTCCAAGAAGTTCAACTAAACAGCCCCCTACCTAGACTAGGTATTTGGGTCGAGTCATTCAAAGTCGAGTCACACTAAGTTATTGAATTCACGCGAGTTGAAATTTAAATTGGATTTTTTTCGAATCAATCACGTCAGTTTTTAGCACTCTTTCGAACTTAAATGTTATTTTTATGAGGTCCTAGGTCCTGGCCCCTGATTGGCACCCAAAAAAACCCGGGTATGCTCATCATATTTTGTGGCAGAGAACCAACCATAACATTCATCATCTTCTTCTTCTATACCGCGCCTTATCAGTAAGCTTAAACCAAAAACTTCAATGGCTACTCTGAGCTTCAATCCTACCAACTTCAGAGACCAAACTACTTCAATTCCTTACAAACCCATCTCCAATTTCACTTCTTTTTCACAACCCACAAAAATTTCATGTACTTCAACTTCTCATACCATTTCAAACTCTTCCACCCTCAAAACCTCATCAAACTGCAAACGACGCCGTTTTCTGGTCAATTCAGTCTCTGAAAGCTCAATTGAAGAAGCTGAAACTATTGAAGATGTTATTGATGATGACCCGACTGCAGAAATGAGTTTTCTTGACCCGGGAACTGAACCCGAAAACATTACTGAATGGGAATTGGATTTTTGCTCTAGACCCATTCTTGATATCAGGGGTAAAAAGATATGGGAACTTGTTGTTTGTGATAATTCTTTATCTTTACAATACACAAAGTATTTCCCCAATAATGTTATTAATAGCATTACTTTGAAGAATGCCATTGTTACCATTTGTGATGAATTGGGTGTCCCTCTTCCTGAGAAAATTCGGTTTTTCAGGTCATTTTTTTTCTGATTCTTCAAGTTTTTATTGATTTTTAGTAAAAAAAAAATAATAATTAAGGGTTGGAAGTTAGAGTCTTATGGGGTGTGTTTCTTTAATTTGTGTTGTGAAATGATCTTACTGATTTTGGGTTGTATGTTGATTTGACTATTATTATGCAGGTCTCAGTTGCAGACCATTATAACCAAGGCATGCAAAGAGCTTGGAATTAAACCTATTCCAAGTAAAAGGGTAAAAACTGTTGTACTAGTATGATTTGATTTAGTTCTTTACACTTTTATGTTGCTATTGGTAGCTTCGAAACCGTGCAAAACAAAAATGGAACAACTAATTTGAGACCGGAGGTAGTATTAATTATTGATTTTAGTTTATTCACGTAATGATATTATGGATGGAGAACATGTCAAATTAAAGGGGAAATTCAGGCATGGATGTTAAAATTCCTTTACTGTGAATTGACGGAAAAGCATTTAGGATCTCTTTAAGCTTTCCTTGAAAGGAATTAGTGATCAGTAATTGGTATTTTCTGAATTTGTGTCATAAGGTTTGTGCTCTAAATTTTGACTTCATGGGAGCAATATGCTGTCTATTGGCAATATACTTTGGAAGCTTCCTGCTGTAATTGTTTCTAAGATCTTTCTCTGCTTAGTCTTTGAGTTCACTAGGTTCATAGTTGATGTTAATATCCGCCATTATTGCAGTGTTTATCGTTGCTTCTCTGGTTGGAAGAACGGTTTGAGACCATTTATACGCGCCATCCAGGCTTTCAGAAAGGAGCAAAGCCTCTTATGGTGTTAGATAACCCTTTTCCTACGGAACTCCCTGAGAATCTGTTCGGAGATAGATGGGCTTTTGTCCAATTGCCTTATTCAGGTATTCAATCCTAGAAGATGGCATTGTGTAATACTTCGTATCAGATTGTGAAATTTATATAATTGCATGTGATGATGGATAGTCGACTAATTATCCAAGTTTACTGTCTCAGCGGTGCGTGAGGAGGTGGAAACCTTGGAGAAGAAATTTGCATTTGGTGCTAGTTTAGATTTGGATTTGCTTGGTATTGATATTGATGATGACACACTAATTCCTGGTTTAGCTGTTGCGTCTTCACGTGCCAAACCTTTGGCAGGTATAAATCATCCCTTTGCTTAAACTTCATATTCAGGTCTAGTCATGTTGTGCTACAAAATTAGCTCAAGAAACTGCTTCTTTCCCTTGAATGCACTAAGTGAAACCGATGCATTAAGCAGCTTATTATAGGAACACCTTGAATGCACTAAGCGAGGATACCGATGAATTAAGCAGCTTATTATAGGAACACTTAAGTCATGCATTAAGCAGTTTCCCTACCTTGCTCTATTGAACTGTACACTCAGTGTCCATGCATGTAGGCATGTAGCAGTAACATCACTAACATTTATTAGTAGGGCTGCTTCATTTGGCTTCATATTTGAGAGAAAATGTGAACTTACCTGTTTTATGTGTTTATCTATCATTCCTTAACCCTAAACCCCTAATCCTTGTCGCTTCAGTAATACTTCTCTTAGAATGGTCATGAGCTGTAATGAATTATGCTTGTACTGTATAACTTAGTGTCACCGTGTTATAATCTTACTGCCTTTCAAAGATAGCTTCATAGCCTTTTGCCCTAGACCTGTCGTCAACCTACCCAATTCTCCACTGGATACTCCAACCTAATCTTATTTTTGTTCTAACTGCAGCTTGGATGAATGGATTGGAAGTTTGCTCCATTGAAGCTGATACTGCCCGGGCTTGCTTGCTCTTGTCTGTGGGAATTTCAACCCGATATATTTATGCTACATATAAGAAAACACCCGAGACAACACAAGAAACTGAGGCATGGGAAGCAACGAAGAAAGCTTGTGGAGGCTTGCATTTCCTTGCCATCCAAGAGGACCTTGACTCAGATGATTGTGTTGGGTTTTGGCTCCTCTTAGATTTGCCACCACCACCTGTATAATTCGCGCACATTAAACTTTGGGCAAGCTTGAGCAAGCGATAGGCAAATACCCATTCATTTTCTTGAACAAGAGCCTCTTTCTCTTTCAAAAAAAAGAAAAAGAGCCTCTTTCTTGTATATTCTATTGGTTAAGAATGGGCGACTTTGTAAGATATAAAGACTTAACACAGCGTTATGAGAAAGACAGCTTTTTTGTAGGATTTAGACTTGAATTTCACAAGATTTTGCTAAAAAAAAACACAGTATTACACTAATACTAATAACATACTTCGTGTAAACATTAGCAGCATCAACATTTCAACATTATTTGTGAGCATAGCAAGCATGATTTCATTAAACATGTCAAGATAATGCAACATGGCTACAAACTTGCCATGATACAAACTCCTTTCATCTTTTGCTAAGCATCTGAAAAAATAGGTGAACTATTATTAAAGGGTACAAATCAAGCTAACAACTTGTCAGCATAGCTACGATAAAGAAGGCTGTGTATTCCTAATCATTTACAACAAAGCTTAGAAACTGACTAAAACACAAGAAAATAGCAGTCTACACTAGTATTCAGATCAGACTTGTATCTAAACGCATCCTATTAAGGTTACATGAGGAAGCCAGTAAAACCTTCCCCCCACTGAGAGAAGCTACACATTCCAGGGTAGAGAAAAAACTATCATCTGCAACCTGGTGAGGCCCAGAATATCAAATTCACAGTAAAAGCCCTGAAGTCCAAGCAGTCGATGTACAATGACCCCAACTGAACAATTGGTGCAGAGAGATTTTATGGGCCTTCACCCACCTGCTAGCAAAACTGTGAGAACCTTCGGAGAACTCTGAACTGCAAAGACAATAGCTTGGCTTTAATCTATATGCTAGATCATCAAGATTTCAGTCTTTTTTGTTTCTGTGTTACAAATCTGATGCCTTGCTTTCCAAGTTCCACGGTCTTCGCCCTTCCATCATCAAGATCAACAGACAACATTGCTGTCCCCTCAATAACGTCACTGACAACTCCTTTATGCCTGATAAAGTAAAATTTATAACCAATTATAAAAATAACAGTAAACCAAGTATATCATGCATTCAGAAATAGAGTATTGACCAGTAAAGTATTAAAGTTCAATGAACTGAAAATATTGAAGTAACAAAGAACGAGAGAAAAACAATGAATCTAGCAACCAAAACCACACATTTCAAGCATGATCATGAAATGATTATCCAAGCATCAAGGACCAAAATATAACCAAATTCTTTATGCCTAGTATGAAGGAAGACTCACCAGGAATTATCAGATGACTGATGAACTTCTACTCTCTTTCCTATAGCATCTTTACCCAACTTCTTCAAAATCCAGTTAGCATCCATGATTTCATTCATTAAATTGTCATCTTGTGATTCTGTCACATCTTCCTGTTCATGATGTTTAGGCTTTTCTACCAAGGGTGATGGCCTCTTTCTCTTAGACCTTTGACCCTTCACAGAACCTCTCTCTTCCTCACTATTTGGAACCCATGAACTAGGATAAGGAGTCTTGAATTTGAGTCTAAGCAAAGGCCTGGAGTCCTTAAGTGAAGCATCTACAGCAGGTGGTGCTGGCTGGTTACTTTTATTTCTATCACCAGACATATCATGCCTGTTATCTGGATGCTTTCTCAAAGAAATCTTCTCAACCTTTGATACATTATTCTGTAGCCCTTCACTGTCAGCATGGCTTTTTTTTGATGGTGTGATATGTGTGCTCTCTAGACCAAACAATCCATTCGCTCTGTGAGATTGAGGACTAGAAGCTTCAGACTTGCCTTTACCAAGCTTTATTATGTTACGATCTCTTAGTTTTACTCCTCTTACATCATGAGAACCTTCAACTTTGTAACCTGCAAATTCCCATGAGTCAATAAAAAGTTCGTACTCATTCCAGATTAAGAACAATGATAGCCAAATGCATACCATCATCAGAGTTTGATGTGCCATCTAATCTTTCCGTTAGATTATCACCTGTCCTATGCTGACTCACTGCTTCATTCCCTCCTGAATCCAAAAAAAAGAGCTATAAGACCTAAAACGACTAAAAGACTGAAATTATGAATAGAAATCAATTGAGATTTAAAAAAATAAAATAAAATAAAGCAAACCAAATTTCAAGTTATATCACATGTCAGAACTCAGAACAATGGGTGGAACACAATTAAATTTTAGATGGCTACTTAGATACACAACAGTCAAAATCCTACCAGAAAAACATGAACACAGCTTATATACACAATTTGGAACAAACACGAAGCACCAAAATTCAAATCATATCATAAATCGCCATCTCTTAATAGATTTATTGTCCGAATACAAATCGCTAGATAATTGAATAGATAACGGTAAACGACTCTTTCTTCTAAAGGCAAAAATGCATCAGCAGAAAACAGATAACCAATGTCGAGCAACAACCATAATACAGCTGTATGCACTATGCAATACAAGACTTACCACTTAATGTCACCAAATCTTGCTCCCTCTGGTAGCTTGAAGAATCAGACCTCGGAGAGTTGGTTATGGTTTTATTTCGCCCTCCTAAATGTATAACCAGCTTAGTTCCCTTAATGGTCTTTGGTTTGTTGCCAAATTGCCCAACATCCTCGCTAACAGCAGTGTCATTAGGCTTCTTGCTCTTAATCTGTACAACTGTTGCTCTTCTGTCTGCATTGCTCCCCGCAACTTCATCCATAGATTTGTGCTTCAAAAACCCCTGTTCCTTATTCGAGAAATTTCCGTCATTTGGACTGAAACTTCCAGAAACTGGAGAAGAAAATAAATCTGGTCCATGTGGCTGTGACATCTCTTTATTGTTCCCCAATCTAGATCCAAACAACTGAGTCTCACTGTATTCTTCAGGCTTGACCTCCATTTTACCATCCAAAGACGTCTGGTATCCCTTTTTCTTCACATATTTTTTGCTGTACGGTTTCTTGCCAGATTCCTTGATCTTCTTAGGGGAAAAATCAGTCAAACTTTTCAAAGAGAATCTAGCGCGCCCATGTTCACCCTTCCCAGCACTCAGATCATTATCTTCATCATCAGAAAACGGCGAAATAGAAAATATTTCTTCCTGAGTCGGCAAACCAGCAGCTGCCCTTAAACTTGCTATTAGATCACGATCTGCCTCGTCTCTTCTCCTCCACAACTCTTGCACAGCATCTTCAAGACCCCTCACCTGCAAATAATGAGAGCAAGAGAAGGAAATGAGAGTTAAATCAAAAGTAAATTATAGTGGTAGAAGTAGTAATAGGAAAACCTTCTCTAAGCATACCTGGTAGCACTCGCCACGACATGTTGGGCATGTGTATGGAAGATTTCCATCTATTTGAAACTGCAAATATCTCTCATCACTGTGTGTATAATAGCATCACAATTAAGATATGTCATTAAAAGTTGAAGCACCAAACTTAATTTCACTATAGAATGATGACAAAAATAATTTTAAAAAAAAAAAGTAATTAACCTGATTCCATCACATTCAATGTGCACCCAGCGCTGGCAAATATCACAGCAAACCATAGGTGTTGCCTCTGAATCCCTGTAGACCTACATAATTTTAAGGTTAAATCAGTCAATTATCACTGATGCATGTAAGACAATACAGTGAATAAAGTTGACAAGGCCTCAACTATGGTCAAACACCAAGCAGAAGCAGTGAAAATTGGGTGCCTCTGTGTGTGAGTGTGTGCAGACCCTCAGTTGGGAGGGGGGTGGGGGGGTTACAGCAAAGAAGAAAAGCATTGGATCCACATGATTAAAAATCTTCATTTCAACTGATGGGGGAAGGAATGTTCTAAATGAAAGTCAAACAACACCAGCCTAAAACTACTTAAGTTTCTGTGGGGCATTAGATGCTGGTATGACTAAAACAGCCAGCATCGAATTTCAAGATGAATCCAAGGCATAGCATGACACGTTCATATAATCTTATACAAAACAGAATTATATATACCTTCAGGCAAGCAGGACAATAATTGCCTTTGGTAAACAATCTCCCACAAGCATCGCAGCAAGTATATCCTAAAAACCACCTGCAGTGTCCAAAACAAGGTAAAAAAAAAAATGATAAAATAAAAAAAGTATACATGATACAACAATTAAAACAATAGTAAGTGCAACAATTAACATTCAAATTACTGCTAGTCAACATATGCATAACAGCATTCCAAACACAGACCACTATTGCCCATGTAGATCTTACTATCCATAATGGAGAAATAAGCACACACACACAAACCTTTCCTAGAACTATATGAACAAGACATGAATAAGACGCTAGATGATGAGTGCATTTTAATACCAGAAATTTTCTTCAGAAATTACAGCCAAAAATTCCAAATGCTAATTCCATACAAAAAGTGTCTCAATTATACATGTCAATCATCAAAAGCTGTAACCAGCATCTTTAAAGCATAATGCAGCCAGGCATCACCAATCTAATATGAGAGCCAAGAACTTCAACAAATACCTTACACTCAGACCATTTCCTGGAACATTTGATCCGCAGCTGTGGCATTTTGTATGCTTGGGGCAAAGGTAAGGTCCAGAACTAACATTCTGCACCAGCAAAGATATATTAAGGTCCAATAATGTGCACAGTGTAACAAACTAAAAACAGAAAAGGAAAACAAAGACAACCTTATGCGGAGGCTGCATACAATAACAATGGAAGGCACCATCACACCTCTTGCAAAATTTAAACTTGTTTGGCTCTCCAGTTCTACGACAAACCTGGAAGGCAAATGAGATAAGAAAAAGACACCCATTGTCAAACAAACAAGCAAACCAAACGCTGAAGTACCAATTTGCACCAACACTATATAAACTAATTATCAGCAGACAAAAGTTTAAGTATTCCTAAAAAGAGAAGCTAAAAAATTAAAGATGCCTTCAATGAAAAATACATAGGGCCTAGGGAGTGTATTGATACTAAGGAACCATTAAAAGATTGGAAATGCCATAATCAATTCCTCCACATGCTGAATATGAAACTAACCTTTCTATAAAGATAATAAATAAATAAGATAAGATAAATAAGTTCAATGATATGCAAAGCACTAATCACAATTTTAAAAATAATATATTGAATGATATGCTCAAAGAATTATGTTATCATCCAAAATATATACATATAGCCTAACACTTCAAATAAAGTGAGAAAACTAAGAACACATAAGAAATGGCTATGAATGACTGGCACCATTTTTTCAACAAAATATAAATTTTTCAGAAATTTTAATAATAAACAATAAAAAAAATATTAATGGCCAAAGGTGTGTCTGGCTACTATTGCTGCTGCATTTGCTGAATAGGCCCCAATTATTGAAAAGAGAAGAGGCCATGTAGCTGGGTTCATGAATCTAGAAAATTTCGTATAATTACACTTGAAAGCCCTTGAAGTGGATTTAAAATACTAAAATCTTTTATTTATAGGTCAAATCGTTATAATGGACCGTGAATCTAGATAGTATATTTTGAAGAAACTAAAGCAGTTTATGATACACACATAGCACTAAAGTGAATAGTTTTTAACATAATTTTGTTTGAAGAGTGAAAACCATACTGTGATTCTAAATTCAAAAAGTTACAGCCAGCAAGTGCAACTCACAAAAATGAGAACTTATAGACCACAAGAAGTTATATCCTACAATATAAACCATGGACTTAAGCAAGATATTGCAGCACATGATTACCTCACATGTACGGCATGAGGGGCATGTCCATGAACTCCAATGAAACAGATCTGCAGAGAGAAACATAACTCAGAAGGGGAATGTAAGATTGTAGCAAGACCAAGAACCCTAGCAACTGAACAAACCTCTATGTTGAGACCAAGTTTTTAAGCAACTCCTGTGATATTTTTTCCCACAATTACTGCATGGATGCATCTTCTTAGCTCTTTCACTCCCTTCATTTTCACCGGAGAAGCACAGTCGACACATCACATTCACATTAGAAGAACCCTGCTCCTCTACGCCAGAATCTTTGGTGACATCCTGAGAATAGCAGCAGATAAACTAGCTTAGCTATATGCAATATATAAGAAAGAAAGTAACAGGAGCATAGTCCCCAGAGTCTCAAATAATATGATCCATTTAAGAAAGCTCATGATTGCCAATCCCAAGGTTGGGACAAGATTCAAGGTTTATAATACAAGGTTCATCTGACGACATATAATACCTGTTTCCTACTCTAACAAATTGACATTTTGATATTCTAACAAATCTTCACTAGTCATTCATCAATTGCAAAATAAGTCCACATGTTAAAAGAAATACCATAAATGACCACATAATTCTCATTGATAGCCAAAAACATGAATCACTTATTCATTATCATCACCTTAAAACACTCCATTTTGAATCTTTGCTATAAAAAAAGTCATTACCTTAAATTTATCCTACTCTCCTCCTGTCCATAACCCAACCCCCCCTCCCCCCCCCCCCCAAAAAAAAAAAAAAAAAACAAAAAAACCCGGATCCCTTGCATGTTGCAATGGTAGAACCTGCAGTATGATCACTTACAAAGCTACCACATACTTCCAAAACAAAAGCTATTCCGCAATCTAAACTCCTTCTTTTAAAAGCAAAGTCACAAGCTTTTCCCAATTAGGGGTAGAATTAGACGACCAATAACACCCTCCAATCAAAACATCATTCCACATAACCAATTTTCATTATTCCACATTACATGCTACTCACAAAATCAATACATTATTACTTGTCAATTTACAACACAAATGCAATTACAATTAACAATCTTTAGCACAACATCAAATAGCAAACACCTCTTTAATCAATCAAACAGATCCAAACAAGTCAATGCACAATCACAAACCCCAATTAACTCCAAAAACCACAAAAACCCCCAATTCCAAAAACAAAAAAATCGACAAAAACAAGAAAAACGAACCCTCACCACCAAAGCACCGGATTCAAAGCGGCGGGCAAAATCCTCAGCCGCCAAAGAAGCAACAGCAGCCTTCTTTTGCAACGCAACCCTTTTAGTCTGAGCAGACAGCAACTCCTCAGCATCATCCCCATGAACAAGAGCAGCAACAGGCGGCGGAGGAGGCGGCGGAACAACCTTGGGAACCGGAACTTGAACCGTAGCACCTTGCTTAACCCTAATAATCCATGGATCCTTGAGAAAATCGTTCAACCTCGAAATTCCACCCTCGAAATCAGCAATTCCAGAATTAATCTGCGGAAACCCTAACGCGCAGAAACAAATTCGCTTGCTGAAAGAGGAGAATGAACGAAAGAAGAAGAAGACGAGGTTAGTAAGCAAGAAAAGTGAAATTAAAATCGGAATGAATTCAAAAAAAAAAAAAGGAAAAAAAAGAGAGGGAATAAATAAAAACAACTAAAACAAAGAGGAGAGTGTAATACTAGTTTACCATGTAATTGGGCAAGCGACGTGAAATGCCATATTATGATGAGAGAGAGATGAACCCAATTCTTTTTGATTTTTGATGGGGGTGCGCTACCTCACTTCTCAGACCTCTCCTTTTTTTTTCTTTTTTTTTTTTTCCTCTCTCTCCTAAGTTTTTATGAGAAATACAGGCTTCTTCCTTCCCCTATTTTACCACTTCCCCCACCTTGTTTTTTGTTTTGGACAATTCTACCCCTATTCTACATGTTAACTTGTCTCTCTTGTTAGTTGTTAAGTGTATATTTTTTTGCTACCTTAGAACATTGATACCTTAACGTGTCTTTCTTGCCGGTGTTCAATTCTATCCCTATTATATTCTACATGTTTTCTACTTGTGTAGTTGTATTGTTGTTACTAGCTTAACATATCCTTACTGGTGTTCAGTTTATTTTAGTTATTACGGTTGATTATATAAAGACATAGGATTTTTTTTATTTTTGGATTAGGTGTTGCAAGCTGAATTTAAGGCGGGATCTTGTATAAAGGAATTTTATGGTAATTTTGTATGGTATTGATGAGGTTGTTGATAGGTGAGTTAAAAGGGGGATCGTATAAGGGAATTTTATGATAATTTGTATTGTAGAGAGATTGTTCGTAGTTGAGTTAAAAAGGCAGAATCTAAGGTAAAGCCGTTTTTTAGATAATTTATTATGGAAGCGGGCAAGGTTTATGTATTAGAGGTCACATATTAATTTATTAATGTTTATTTAATGGTCTATTAAACTTTTATTAATATAGTAATGCAATAAACAACCGTGCATCTAAGACTAGTTTATTTTTAAAAGGAAGCAATTAATGACTAATATTGTGTTAGGATGATTTACTCTCATCAAATCTTTCTCTTTGAGTAGAACATAACAATAGATTGAACCATAAAACTCATGAAAAGTTCACTATGTCAACTAAGGGATTTGTCCACCTAAATTAATGTTAAAAAACAAGGTAAGTACCAATATAAAGTATTAACAACTCATATAATCTTGAAATTTGTGCTATATATATGAATGACTACCTAGATTAATAAGGAAACGTTATGTTATCTTACAAATTGACATATATCCTAGTAACATACAACTGAATTCTAGTAAAATTGTTTGATACAATCTTCAAAATTTTATAGGAAGGAAATCTCATTATCAAAGCCTCCGGATTCAACTTTAGGATTGTGTTGTTGAATGATTAAAACAGAGGCAGTTGTGGAAAAATTAGGGCACGATAGTATATCACCTAAAGGCCCTAATTCTGGGCATTGTTCCCAATCATTCATTCCCATTGTCAACATTGAATTCACACGGCCAGCTCGGCCCACGATAAAAAGCTCATATTGGCCATCTAATGATCTTAATATGGTGTAAGCTTGTGCCGAATTCATCAAGTGTTTCTCCAAGTACGAGACCTTCCCTCCTGCAATGTGCCTTTCATAAAAATTTGCAAAGCATTCATCATCGAGTTCCATCTCTTCTAATAGTTGATTTGTTCTTCTCATATTATTACTTTCTGCATCTATGTCTACTAGGAGTCTCATCACCGTTAGTTTTACCCCGGGATGATAAGCTATCCGTCCTGCATATGCTAATGCTTCTCTATCATCTTTGCCTCCGATAAATATAACAACAGTATTCAAAGTACTTCTCGGCGAATTTAATATTTGACTAGTGCCACCAAAACCTCGATCAACCAAGATTGCAATGGAGCATGGGGCATTGCGAAGAACCTAGTAAAAAAAAATATTATACTCGGTTATATTGGGCTAATTAGAGTAATTTTACATGAGTAATTCCCTATTCCTCACTGTGAGTAACAAATTATGGGATATGTGTCAAGAGCAGAGAGGTACACCTAAAATTAACAGGCGGTCCCCGCTAGTGAAAAACATCACATTATTTTCCAAAATGTCATTATAAAGGAACAAAAGTGTTCCTCATGATGAGAAAATGGGGCTCCCTCATTTTACATCAGGATAAAAACTCCCAAACAACTCCCAACTCAACTTATTATATTGATCACTCATAATAAACTATTTTATTAGTAAGATGGATTAACATACTATTAATAAATACGAGAGCATTACCTTGCGATTAACATATCTAAAGCCTACATGGCTATCATTTGGAAGACCATCGTGAAAAGGAAGTATTATTAGACTGATGATTGAATCCTCAGCTAAGTTGCAAATTTCCTGGTGCATGTTGTTAAAAGTGGCCAAGGCCATGGCTCTTCGAAGGGTGATTCCATCTCCATTCTCCTCGACATATTCTTGTAATGTGGTTGTAATTTGCTGTCTATTTTGAATAGTCACCTCATCAGTCACCTCTAAAGCATCTACTCCTCCTGGAGCCAAAGTGGCGGCGATATAATCTGTGAGTTCTATCATGTCAGTAGCGTACACCACTATGCCCGGGTCACCCGTCTCCTTGGTGATCTCCATGAGATTTATAGCACAAGGAACATTTTCAGGGCCATGAAATCCTAATAGAATCCTAAGCTCCTTAGCAGGATCATGCCATTGTAGCGCCAAAGGTTGTTTTGGGAAACGTTTCCTAGCTCGTCGAATAATGTATTTTGCAACTATTGGAATGTAGATGATCTTGAGAAGCATTGCTAATATCATACCAATACATGTTGAGTAACTGACGATTTTATTCTGCATCAACCCATGATATATATATAAATATATACTAAGTATCAGAAAAGGCAAATTAAAAATGCATATTACATATGAGTACACGTTAGGCAAAATTTAATCAAACGAAAAAAAAAAAAAAAAAGTACCTTCATGGCAATAATAGTGAGGTATATATGCAAATGTCCTTTGACATTCAAAAGTAGTGCAAGTGTTATGGATTCAGGCCATTGAATATCAATAATCAACCCGGATAAAAGAGCTCCAATAATCTTCGCAATCGTTTCGACAACAAAGAAGCCAAACAACCTTGCCCAAGAGCCAAGCGTATGAAAATCAAATTGTCCAATTTGTGCTTCCAAACCCACCCACACAAAAAAGAAAGGATAGAACACAAAGGTCAAAAAGTAATTAGATTTAGAAATGAAAAATTGTGAAATCCTCCCTTCTCGAGGTAAGAAAGCCCCAGTTACAAATGCGCTAAGCACAGGAGTAAAGCCCATAAGAGGTGAAATGCATCCAATACACACCACAAACGCAACTGAGAGCACCAAGTGTGATCCTTTAAATGTTTTTCCATGGGGATTGGCGTTGTTGACCCAACGAAGAATTCTTGGTCCTACGACGAGGGTTATGATGATTTGTACCAACAATGTCGCGCCAAGAGGGATAACACCATGACCCTTAAGGTACTCGTGTTGGTCAGGTTCTCTTACACGAACCCGAAACTCTCTTTCTGGTTGGAATATGACATATCCAACACATATCATAAAAATTGTTACCAATTCAGAGTACACTGCTGCAGAAATGGCAAACTTGCCAATGTTAGACTTTCCGATTTTAAGGTCTGTTAACACACGCGTTAGCAAGGGGGACCCCGTACTTGACAACATTATAGAGAAAGCTAAATAGAATTTAAGGTTTGAGTTCACCCCGTAATGAAGGAAAGGAGCACTGCCACTTGTAAAAATAAATGTGAAAATCATGCCCGTGTATGCAAAAATAGCCTCTCTCTTAGGTATACAAAAAAACACTAGAGGGTTCATTTCGAGTCCTAGTGCAAACATGTAGATAGTCATCCCAAAATCCGTTAAAAATTTCATGTTTTTCAATCTGATATTATCAATATGTAGTATCGACGATCTTACTAAGGCCCAATTGCCTAACGAAAACCCCACCTGCAATACAATACATATCATTAATCACATAGATAATAAATTTAGTTTAATAATTAAGGTAGTTTGCAAAAATGATCATTAACATTCCATGTCAATTACAACAATTTCTTTGTTGTTTGCTAGAAAAGACTAATAGTAAGCATATGCATATATATAAAGAAATATACTACGTATATATATAGAGTAAATGGAATGCAGAAGACATACAATAGTTTCTGATATGATTCGAGGCTGAGAAAAGGGCTTTATGAGGATATGCAAGCCATGGCAAAGTCCAAGCAAAGAAATGAAGCAAATAAAGTATGAAGCAACATTTGATATCGCATTGTTACAATCTGTAATATCATCTTCCATTTTTTCTCGTTTTCGATCTCCTTTTGATTATTTCCTATCAATTATAATATCATTCGTTGTATATGCATGAGTCCTTTTCTTTTCGTTACTTCCATATATTGTGTACAAGTTGAGATCCCGGAAGTTAAAAATCCCCATTAGCCTTTCTGCAAATTGAATAGTAACTCATTAGCAAGCTTATGAATCCAACTAATTATGAAGGGTATATATAAAATGAAATTACAAATTTTGTGTACAACTTGAAACTTTCAAGAATAAACATTTTAATGCTTAAAGAGAAATCAAAGCTATCTATTATATATTATAGAGTATCACAATGCATAGGCTACAACTCCATTAACAATACAAAAAAAATACGATATTACATAGGAATATAGGATACACATTTTAATAATCGAGGCAAAAAAAAATACAAAGTACTTCGTAGTAGTCATTATAATGACCTCTTTCTATTTTTTATATCTTTGATGAGAGAATTGATTAACAAGCAGTGCCCAATGATAATAGATTTACTACATTAGTAATCATATTAGAATCGTGGTTTATATTACCTTAAAAACAATATAGAAATTCAATGCATTTATGACCTAAATCGAAAGAGAATAAGCCTACGTACATATAGTTTCCTTGTTAAGCATTGCATATGATTTATTATGTGTTATATTGATGAATAAGATTTCATTCATGTAACTTCAAACCTTCAATTAAACAACTATCTATATCTATATAAACATGTATAATTTGTAGTTAGCTTATCTAGAATCATAAACTATAAAAGACTACAATGTAATTATGTTCCCCAATATTTTTGAAAAGCAATCTAGAAATGAACGATAATAAATAAAAGAAAGATAAACTACAATAACCAAAGAATTAGATCAAATTTTGACATATACACATAATAAAAAATAACAATTACGAAGAATGAAAAAACTAGAGCTATTACCTGTCAATGCCTCTGATTGCCATTGTAGAAGTTCATTACTTTTGATGCAAAGAGATAGAGAGATGAAAAAGGGAAAAGAATGAGAGA